ATATTAGTGAGGTCTTCAGTTCACAGTGAGAAGAACACTACACACACTCTCCCAGCCACCCCCCTCCGTTTTATACAGTCCCTTTAACCAGCTTATTTACCAAATAACTACAAAGCCATCAAAACCTCTTTTTCCTAATGGTTGGAAACCTTTTGCTGACTTTCCCTCCCCACACCTCATAGCAGCACAGGATTGTACCCTTGAGTTAGCAGCTTGCTGACCTCCTTCCACCCCAAACACCTCTCACTGGCTCTCACTGCCTAGGAAGGGCTCCCCAACAGCTACCCAGGGGCTGCTCTGCTTGTGGGTGCCTCACCCCACTCCTCTGGTGACCCCAGCCCACAGGGCAAAAAGGCAGCTGATGAAAGACTTGGCTAAAAGCAAACATCTATGGGCAGGCAGTGCCAGACCAGCACTGGAGCTGCTCCCGTGGAGCTACAGCATCACCCACCCAGCACTGTCCATGGCCTTCTTCCAGAACTGCCAGGGCCAGTTTGCATTTTGCAAATGCGATTTGCACAAACTGCTGCAAAAATTAGAAGTTTGCAACAAAATACCAGAAGGGTGTTTGCCAGACAGTCTGTACACAGGGCTTTGCTGTGAGACAGGTATAAGATAGGAGCTGCTGACTCAGGAGCTCCCCAGCATTCCCAGACGTGCATTGAATCAGCACGTCAAGGGGCAGGACAAATCCCTACAGCTCACTTGCTCTGCTCCCCACTGAGGCAGGAGAACTCCATGGCATGATTCCAGTTTGGTACCCGTTTTCCTCCCACCACACCTACTTGGTGCTGCCTCCCCCCAGGGGAGAAAGTCCTACCATGGATGTTCTCACCGCAGGAGCTGGGCAAGCTCTGGTTGTGACCTTTCTTAGTGCTTTGCAGTTTACATATCTGTGTTTGGAAAACCTCCGTGGGAGCTTACAGCAGGATTAATTCCTAGTATAAACACTGTGAGCCCCACTGTGCAGTTTTATATAGCTTAGGTGATAGCACAACTGTGTACCAAGGAACAGGCTGGGGAGGGAGGGGGAATGAGGGAAAAACCATATAACAAAGGGAGGAAAAATAAGGGAGCCCTGATTCTCTGCTGGGTTTTGAATCCTTGCTGCACTCTCAGGAGCTGGCATGGGCAGCTGTCTTTACCACAGGGGACAAACCCATTTCCAGCTGGGCTTGCTGCCCAGATGCAAGGCAGCAGCTCATGCTGGTTGCAGGAGAAATTAGGGGTTAGGGTTTTTTGCTCAGGTTGATTTATTTCTTAGGTTTGTTAGGTTCTTAGATTTCTTAGGTTGTTTCAGGTTGCCACCAGATGCCCAGAGGAGGGCACACTGAGTGGGGCAGGGGGACATGCGGAGCAGAGCAAGCCCAGGGAAAAGCTCAGTGCTTCTGAATTGGAGCAAGAAGTGCCCCAGTGTTTGCTCTGCACTTAGGATGTTGGGAGAGGTCCAAGGAGGGGAAGTAAATATTGTGAGAAGAGGTGGGGCTTCCCTTGGAGTTCAGCCATCACACGCTTCCCACCGGCAGGGTCCCCAGCCAGCTCAGCCCTTCCAGGATGCTGAGGCCCTGCAGGCACCTGAAAAAATCCAGGAGCAGAGTGTGCCCCAGTCCCCCACAACATCCTCTCCCACTACAAGGTCTGAACCAGCCTGCCCTCACCCCCAAGCCTCAGGGGAGCCACTCTGGCAACCACGCTGCTACCCCTCATCCCCTCCCAGGCTTGCTAAGGCATCCAGGGGTGCTGGATACTGAGCTAAAGGACATAGTTTTGCAAACTGCAAGCACCATGTGGGGGAATGACCACAGTCCATGTGTTCACTGTGGCAGCCTCACCTCATTTCTCATCACTCTTATGACTAGCCAGTGAGCAACCCAGCAATCACCTCCTTTCTAGATATGAGCCCATGTCCACCCTGCCTGACATTTAGTCTCTAAAGAGGTCCACAACAGTATTAGCTGCTGCCTTTCTCCACCACTTTGAGCTGTCCCAATGAGCATATTTCTCCAGTTATCTCGATTTCCTCATCCATTCTAGCAGGAGGAGGAAGGGGATCTCATGAGCTGCACAAGGTGGGCTTCCACCTAAAGGGAGAGGAGCACCACTTTCCCATGGCCCCCAAGCCAGCCAGCACAGGGAGGTCACACCACTTGGTCACACCAGCAGAAGTGATACCTCCATCTCCAAGGAGAAGTCAGCTCAGGACATCATGAACTCATGATGCAAGAATGTGAACTTTTGGAACAGCAAACTCAGGTAGGTAGGGCTGCCAAGGGGATGGTGTGGGCATGAACCTTGTACTTTCTGTGCCCCTGCAGTAATGTCACTGCTACAACTGAGTGCACTCACAGAACTTCCCAGAAGGGATCAAAATGCCCCATGGGATGGCAGAATAAACTGAAGCATGAAGGGGACCTGAGACCGTGAGGTCAGTAGGAGATTCTGGAAAACTAATCTCCTCCAGCATGACTCAGTGCAGTGTGGAGAGGAGGCTGGCTGCCCCACACAGCTGCCTTTGAAAGGACCAACTCGTACAGACTGGACAGCTCATCCCCTCCTGAGCTGTCCATGGCCCCTCTGAGCCCAAACCCAGGCACTAGGGTTTCTACCTAACAGGACAAAGGGAGACACACACTCACTGGTGCTGGTGCTCCTGAACTGACCTCAGCAACACGTGGCAAGAGCTTTGCAAATCCAAGATCCTTCTACCCGTTTCTCCACTTTCCCTTTCTCTCCATCTGCTTGTCCTCCAGCCCTGACAACAGGCAACAGCCATATTCCCAACAGCCTCCCTGGGAATGGCAGCTGCCTACCATCAGGCAGATGGCTGCATCACAGCCCCTCACAGCAGCCAGCAAACAAGATTTGTATGAGCAGCATCAGATTTTGGCCAAGTACGCCGGGCGATCTCTCTGGAGCTCATGTCTGGCAATTTCCTGCAGCTTCTCTGCTGGTATTTTCCTGCATACAATGTATTAGGACAGAAATATTCTTCCAGAAAGGTTTGCTGGGATCCTAAATAGGCCAAATGTGTATGTTGCCAGCCCTGGGAGCCAGTTTCAGACATCCCAGGCATGAGATGATGCTTTAGGGTTTAAAGCTCTTTCTTGATTTCTGCTTATCTTTGTGCAACAGATCAGAATCTGCCCCAAGACATTAACACAAAGCAAAACAGAACCTGCTCTGACGTCAAAAAGCCAAGCTAGCAATTAGGCAGAAGCAATCAGCATCTCTGAGTCTGTGACAATAGCCCTCACTGCAAGAGGCTGAGAAGAGGCAGCATCTGCTGCTCACTCTCCAAAAGCTGCAGGAGGGAAGGAAAGGTTGTCACCAGCTCTCTGCAGCTTCATCTCTATCCTGTGCTTCACTGGGGGTCACACTCTCACCCTGCAGCAAAGGAAATGAAAACTTCTCTCATGGTGGGTGGATTTTAAAAAAATTTTCTTTAGATCCTAAAAGAAGAGACAATGATATGAAGGAAAGAAGAATACCAAGAACTATCAAGAAATCACACAAGGTTGATTCATCGACAGTGAGTTTCTGTAGACAGCCACATCATTTGAAATTTAATGCTGCAAAATGTGCAGTTTGAACAACAAATCCAAAATCTTCTGCAAACCCCATCTTAATTACAGGATCTCCAATGCAGCCCAAGTCCATGTAGTGAATGCAGAGATGGGGAGTGAGCTTCTGTTCTCAGGTAACATAATCCCAAATGTGCAGCCTTTGAGGAATTTGTGGTGTTTCCCATTTTTTCAATTGAAATTTGTGGACAGAAGCAACAGAATGACCCAGATGGCAAGATCCCAAGAACAGAAACTGATGCCTGTGACCAACAGCTGGTCAGTCAAAGGCACACATCCAGTTCCATCTTTTAGCTCCTCCACTCCTGGGCATTTTAATGCCATCGATAATTTCTCCCTGGAGTGCTAATTAGCACCAAAAAAGGGCAGAGCAGGCAGCTGCCACCTTAGTGCCCA